TGCCAGCAGAAGGAAGGCATCAATTACTGTCAGGGAAAGTTCACCCAAGTTGATGCTGGAGAAAAGCCTGCCCACGGCTCCGCTGCGTTCTGCGCTGGGACTCTCTCGCTCGGAAAAGAACAGAGACTGAGATGTGGGGGTCCACTGCACGCGCCCCCAAACAACAGAGCGACACCCAAGTTTGTTCTCTCTGCGTTCAGCCGCTTGGCCTTCTGTCCCGCGGTGGTTAATTCCTGAAGGACACGACCTTGGGCTGCCACCAGAACCCTTGTCTCCCGGCTTTCTCTGCCTCCCTCTGTCTGAAGTGCAGCCCTGCCATGCCCTACCCCACCCCCCACCCACTGCACCTGCTCTGGGAAGGTTCTAGATGGCCGATGCCTGTCCTTGACCCCCTCACCCCTCAAAGTGCCCAGCGTGTCCCTTAAATGGTGTGTGGAGCCCCTTTCCCAGGGTGCCCAGAGCTCTGGCAGTTAGTCCAGGCGCCCGCTCCTGAGACCAGCGCAGAGGCCCCGCTGCCCTGTGCCCTCCACGCCCAGCTCACGCCGCCTTCTCTCCCACAGGCCTTGGCACCCCCAGTGTACGCTCCCACGGGCCTGCCCTGAATGTCCCCTCCTGTCCCCATCCTTCCCCTTGGGCCCAGGTGTCCCCCTGGTACTGGACACCCGGGGAGGCCGGCACGGGGACAGTCACTGAGGCTGAGGGACCAGGTTGGTCCCCACACAGCCACTCACAGATGGGTCATTGGGTCGCCAGGACTTGTATTGTGAACACAGAAACCCCTTGGCTGCCTTTGGTCCCTTCCTGGGCACTGAGGCCCCTCCGACCACAAGCTGCCCTCTCATGGCTGGCCAGCTGGGGTGGGTGGGAGCTGGAATACGGTGCCCCAGGATCTTTGGCATTCCTGGGAGGCTTCCCCCCCCCCCGCACCTTTGGGAGCAGGTGATTTATCATCGTAGACTAGCGTCTCCCCTGGGGTACATTCCTGAGCTGTAGCTTTGATATCACGGGGTGTGGGGCCCCCCTCCCCACCAGCCTGCCAGGGCTCGGCCGCCGTGGGACCTGGGATCAGGGCGGGGAGGGGCAGCCACTGTCCTTGTGCTCAGTGGGCTCCGTTTACTTGTGAGCCCTGCATGAAGACCCCAGGGCCGCCTTCTCCGAGCAGACCGGGCTTCTGCGCCCACCTGGCCGGTGGGAACGGTGCTGGCGCTGCCCCACTGGCATCGGTGCCGGGGCCCATCGTGGCCGGCCTTGTCTCCCCGGGGTGGGGCCGCCAGCTCCCCTCCAGACTCCCCCACCAGGCCATGGCGCCCTGCTTGCCCTGAGGACCTCCTGGGACTGAGGACATTTTATAGGCTCAAGCCAGGGAAGTAGTGTAAAGCTCTAACCGCCTGTCTGCTCATGGGGAAAGGGTTGGACTACATTCTGGTGGCAGTGCAAATGCAGACAGCCCTCCCACTCGAGATGTCCGTGTCCCCAGGGGGCCACACGAACGCCCCAAGTGACCCCTTCGCATCCGGGGGAGAGCGCCATCCTCCCTTGGAGCTGGGCCGCCCCGGGCACTGAGCCCTGCACCCACCAGGCACCCCGCGGGGTCCAGCTTCACCCTAAGGGAGCCGTCAGCGCAGCGCTGGACTTAGTCGTTGAACCCAAGAGTTGATGGCCACTCAAGTGGAGGTCATTACTCAGCCTATAAGTGAAATCTTGCCAACCGAAGCCTTTGGTAGGAAAAGCAACTTTTCAAACCTTCTGTCTTCTTCCCTCACCACACCTCCTCTGGCCCTCCCTCCCTCCCTCCCTCCTTCCTCCCTTTCCCTCCCTCTTCTCTCTCTCCCTCATCTCCCCTTCTTCTGTCTCTGTAAAAGCACAGTTCACGTGTCTGTGAACGGAGACCTGGACAGAATTCCTTCATCTCAAGATCGTGTTGGATCTCCATTGCCACGCAAGGTGATCTCTGGGCCCCAGGACTTGGGGGCCCCCTTGAGCTCGCTGCAGAATGGGTTATTTCCTGGTCTCCCCACTCCAGGGCGAGGAGGAGGACGTGGGGCCAGGCCCCTGTCACTCAGGCTGCACCTTGGCCCGGTGCTGCTTTGGAGGGGAGTTCAGCCCTACCTCTCGGCTCACAGCCCTGGGGTCTGGCTGTTTGCCACTGGAATGCATTTTTTATTTATAGTTTAAAAAATGGGTGTGCCAGAGTTCTGGGAAGTTGCTTCAAAGACAATGAAGTCACCTGGAGAGTCTGACCCTGGACAGCCCCCTCCTGCTCGAGCCTTGGGCTTCCGTCTCCCTCCCCCTCCCTGGCGGGGGGGCCAGTGGGGAGCAGCTGGCAGATGTTCGGCCCCAGGCTGAAGCTTCCAGGCAGCTTGGCCAGGTGGGGAAGGCCTGTGGGTGAGGTTTAGGAAGGAGGTCC